TTTTTACTTGCTGTCGTTTGGTAACATGGGGACTCTCCAGTGTGGCACGAACAGCTCGCGCGCCGAAGCGTCCTTGAGCAATTTCCCAGCATGAGTCGACAATAGCGTCAAAGATGAACTGATTCTGTAAGGGGCCAAGACTGAGACAACATTGAACAACGTAATTGCCAAACTGATCCAACAAGAGTGCGGGCACATAAGGTTTAATATGCTCACAAATAAGATTCACCTATTTTTTTTTGTGAATATGAATGTAGTTTACTATTTTTTTTTGACTTTATACCTGTGCAGGAAGCTTTGCTGTGTCAATAATCTTTTGAGCGGCCCAGGTTCCGTTCTTGTGTACACCAATCGAAGCTAAATAAGGCGCTACTCGTTCAAGCATAAGAGACTTGGTCATCTCTGAACATTTTTCAAATAATCGTTGGATGACCGTGTTGCCGATATAGTCTACAGACAGTATGGGTTCATTTCTGTTTTTTTTAACATGGTTTCCATCTTACCGCTACAAAGTTCCACCAACTCATCTAAACATTCGACAGCAATGATTTCCAGTTCCTTTACCGAGATTTGACCATTATCCAATCTTTTCCGAATATCTCTTAATTTCGCAATATCGACCTTTCTAGACTGACCCAGCTCGGGAGCAGCTGGTATAGTATGGAAGTAATGCTGAGGCAAATGAAGAACTAAGTTACAAAAGTGAGCTTATATCCTTTTTTTATTGGTGCGACCCTCACCTTGGAACATCGGACCATCCTTTTCATCTTCACCAAAATCCTGCATGATCATCTTTCGTTCTGATATAATGGCCGACACCATGTTGGGATTATGTGTCATCATCTCGGTCATCATGTACATCATCACTTGCTGCTGGTACTGTTGGTGTTCCTTTTCGACATCATCTTCCATCGTCTTGAGCGAAGGCACTTTTGCATATCCAATCTTGACCACGCCTGTGCCTGGTCCCATGATCTCTCGATTATATAACGATTTTTTAGCTCGGATGGCATCTTCCAGATTAAAAAAATTGATAAATCCGCAGTTTTTGTGGGGCAGCACACGGACGGATTCGATCGCTCCGAAGGTGGAAAAGACGGTTCCCAAAGCAACCTGGGTTGTGTTGCTTGGAATATTTCCAATCCCTATTAAGCATAAGTAACCGTTCCTTCTCTTGTCTATTTAACTTACATAACGCTCGAGTGGGTTCTTGAACACTATCGGTCAACAGTTGAGACTGAGATGACTGTGACGATGTTGAGGAAGACAGCTGTTGTGGCACTGATTCAGATTTTCCAAATCCGACCTTGATGGTTGAATTGCCAAGTTTACTGTTCATCTTGTGAATCAACGCATCCTTGGCTCTCAATGCTTCTTCGACCCCAAAGTAATTGATAAACGCACACTCGCGGTCCGGTAAGATTCTTATACTTTCAATAGACCCAAATTTTGAAAACAAATTGTTCAAATCATTGGTTGTGATGCTAAGATCGAGCTGACCTATCCATAAAGAACGACTCGGGATTTGCCCATGAGGAATGATCTCGGCGTCTTCAAAGGATTCCCATGCGGTAGGTGGTGTTGCCAAGTCAGGCTCATCCTGATGGTAAATGGGGGATGAACTAGCCGTGCTGGCCTTTCTTTGTCTTGCCATCATCTCTAACAGATCAGCACTGCTGTTCGAGTTGCGTAGGAACGGACGACGAATATTGTTTTCTAACGGAAGCCGAGGATGCCATATGGACTGAAAAGGAGGATGGTCCTGTTGTTGTTGTTGTTGTTGTTGTTGTTGTTCCTCTAGGGAATCAACAGCACTCATTGCTCTTGGTCTATTTCCTTGAAGTCTAAGGTCCATCAGAGGAGGACGCTGTTTTAAAAAGGAATCATATGGAATCTGTTGTTGTTGTTGTTGTTGCTGATGAGTTTCAGCCAAGAATTGAAGTGAAGAATATGAATGGCTTGCATGAATTGTACGTCTATTGTCTAAAGTTCGACTATCGTCTAATCCTAAAGAGGCAAATGTACTAGCAATCGTATGATGACTGTCTTCTCTGAGTAATTGATCTGAAGTAGGACTATGTGGTTGACCGTCCCAGAGGGGTTGACTCTGTGCGTTGAATAGACTGCTAGTGAAAACATGGGTTGGGTTACGTATATTGTTGGGTATCACAGGATCTGGAGGTGCTGTCTCAGCACGAGGTCGACGTAAAGGTTCTTGAGTCAGCTTTTTATGCCATGTTTTCGTTGCTAAATAGTTGGTATTGCCACTACACATGAACGCGTTATGTATATTAGAAACAAAAATTAAAGTGCCATACCTCGGTGAACAATTTGAGTCATTGTCATTGAGTGAATTAGTTGAATCGGTACCTGAGTTGGCCATGATGTTCTGCAATGACCCTACTTTTTATTATTTCTGTCCCTGTTTGTATGTATTTTCTTTCTATTAGTCGGGGAACAAATGTGTGTGCTTTCCGATAAAAAAAAGTACTAAAAAGACGAAATGAAAAATATAAAAAGAGAAAGAAGAAAGGAAGAAAAAAAAAACGAGAAAAGGGAAAAAAAGGGAGGAAGTTGAAAGATTTGAAAGGGAGAAGGGTGTACGTGTGTGTGTATGTGAAGAGAGAGAAAGAGATAAATAAATAACTAAAAATATATTACAAAAAGCAGGGGCGTTCTCGTCTTTTGGCGGGGGATACAAACTTTTTTTTTTTTCTTCTGCCAACAAAAAAAAGTTTTTATATGATCCAATATTTGCCTGGATTTTTTTAGGATGAATAAAGTACATTTTATAATCAAATATTTGAACATGTTTATGATGTATATAAAAGTATTAAAGACAATTCTAATTAAAAGAAACACAAGATCAGCAGCTTCGGAAGTGCACCGAAAGTGACATCTTGCAACAAATATTCAAATAGACACTTGTTTTTGGTTTTTATTCTACACTGTTTTTTCTTATTCTATATTAAATCATTATAGGCGTTTGGTTTATTGAATATATAAACAAAGAGAATAGGAAGCAAATCATTTAATTATAGTTTATGTGTGCAACCCCGAGATTGTTTCTGCATATAAATCGGAAAGAACCTAATCTTGTCAATTGTCACCCACGCTTTCTTAACTATTTATTCCTTTCTCTTCTCTCTATACATTTACTATAAACTAAGCATCACTAGTGGATTACTTACTTACAAGAGAGAGGGAGATTATACAGATGAGTTTAATAACCATTCTATTAATGTACTAAGAAAGGCTCATCTACTTGTGATGTTGCCGAATAAGGTGATGTAAACACGAGAAGCGAAGATCCTATTTAAAGGTGTTGTCTTTACACTCGTGTGTATCCTACATTAATACACCGTGCTTGTGGCTGCAGAGAAAAACAAGTTGCGGAGAATAAAAATCCACCTTGCTGGTTGCTTGTTGGCAATGCACTTCATGACCCTCTTTTTTCTATTCTTATTTGACTCGGAATCAAAAATTAAACTGTGAAACTAGTTTGAAACTTTGAATAATGAAGTTAAAGTTTATATCTGTTCGGTTTGTTAGATTCCGTCAAATAAAAAGAATGGAATATTCGAGTAAAAACTAGATTACTTTTGATATCAGTATCACGAGTTTCATATAAAGAGGGTCCATACTTTCATCGACTTTTTTTTCTTGCTTGCAAAACAATGAAGTCCTCTGGAGTCAAAGATATCTACAAGTTATACTTTTTGCTTTTTCGCAAAGCCCTGAGTAAATGCCTCAAACAGCAAGTATTGCATCCGATTGGTAAAGTCATGTATTAACTATTAATGGTTGACAATTTCCTTGGGACCATTTTGAAAGAGCTTTTTCAATAGTTTTATCTTTGGCTCATACTGTCCCAGGAGGATAACCCTTTTGGTTCACTGAAAACAAGTTGCTCTTGTAGAGAAACCTGATTTCAATATGAAATTTAATACTTTCTGTCAGTGCAGGTATTTATCTTTGCGATTTAATTGTTCTCGTCAGTAGTGTCCTTCCTTAAGGGAGCTGTCATACTCATGGTGGTCTTAGCTCAGGAGTATATAATAGGAAAACGTAACTTGCTGCTTAAAGTATTGTCATTTGTCAGAATATTTAGGATAAATGAGTCAACGCAGAACATTTATCTTTATTGTATACAAACACACAACATGATTGATTTTAAAGTATAACCTTGTGGATTTTCAATCGAATAAAGCTATTAATTATTAAATAAGGAAGAAGATATATTCCAACAAGAAAGAACTTGTTTTTCATTCGGAAAAACAAAAAGTCAGTTTTTACATAATCAATTATTATCGCACGGATACAATATGTCTTTCATGGTAAAGACGCTTAATACTAGTTCATTTGTATATATTAACTTGTAATGGATAGTTAGATTCGGGTCAATCTATCATTTCATCTACACACACATACTATCTTTCTTTTTGTTGAGCAATGTTAATAACCTATCATCACCAATAAAGTCATGCATCATTACGGCGAGCAATCCACAACAACTGTCATGAATAAGTGCGTAGCTCAAATTTCTTTATGCCGCTACACATAGTTGTTTTAAGCCGAGCTTTTTCCTGTTTTATCTTTAAGTTCCACCATGGCTGACTAGGAGAGTGTACTATAACCATAAGACCTATAAGCATATACAAGGTGTACTGACGATGAATACTATATCAAAAAGGAACAACAGGGGTGATGTGAATTCCAATCCGGACAACATAGCCTGACCTGCACCTAGTGAACCTAAAAAGGAAAGATTTCTGTGGAAAGGAATATAAACCACTACCTTTTTTTTTTTTTTTTTCTCACTTGTTCTCTCTTGCTTTGCTATCTTTCTTTCTCCTTCTCTCTCTTTTTATTCTATTTTTGAAAACAAGGGTTTTTTTTTAGTTTAATAGTGATCAAGTTGTGTATCAACAGTTCTTTATATAATAGCTTGAGTTAATATCATCGTATGGGACTCACTTACCGTACTTACCTTGAAGGAAGTTCGACTATTTATGGTTGTCTTAAATGTAAAACACATCTTTCTACTTCTGACGCCATCATATCAAGAGTAAACTGAATCTATTTTTCATCTATTCAACCTTATCTAATACATATATTAGCAATTTCATGGACAACATGGTCAAGCATATTTGTTTGAATCTGTGTAAGTATTTCTCTCTTTCTCTTTCTTCTTCTTCTTATCTTTATTGTTAGAGTAAACGTTAAATATGGAAAAGCAGAGGATAGAGATATGACAACCGGATTACATAGAGTTAGAGATATATACTGTACACAGTGCTCAACATTACTTGGTTGGACTTATGTTTGTTGAACTACGCAATTAGTTATCTTTTGTATTAATTCCTTATTCAATAGGTCAAGGCATATAGTAGCGAAAATAAATATAAAGAAGGAAAGTTTATTCTCGAAAAGAAACTATTAACGGATTTATCGGCAAGGATATACATCGAAAGCCGTGATCTTGTTTAATCTATTTACATTAGCATCTCTTACTCTCTCTCTTCGTCATTGTATATTTCATCTCTCCCCCAACTTATCCCTTTCAATCTCCCTCTTTTTTTATTCCATAGTCATTCTACCTTATATTCACCATTTTCTCTTTTCTTTTTGAAACTGTCGCATGAATCTAACTGACTTTGAACAAATTCTGTATCTTTAATAAAAACACACACTGTCAGACAATCTCTTGATTTCCCCCCCTCCAAAATGACGAATATACAAGATATGGTCATAATGCGCATGCCCTCTTCTTTTTCCTCATTGTTATCATACTCATATTATACTACGCAATTCCAGTCTTACAACTGACAGTTGTAACTGATGATCCGAACAAATTCATTGGATGCTGTTTCATCTCCAGTTAGCCAGTAATAATGTATAAAGTTAAAAATAAGAGAATCTGTCATTAATGCGATGTTTATTAAAGATATAGTGTGGGTCAATACGTATAAACAGGAGACAGTTTATTTTTGATACATACATGTATATGACATCTGGTCAATGTTATTGTAAAAGCAACCACGTGATAAATCAGCAATCACAATGATAAATACTATTATGAACAAGCAGATATCTTAAATATGAAAATATATAAATTATAGAGAAAGTCATGATCGCTTGTACGTCATTTGGGAAAGTTTGATGGTTCAAGCTATTGTATAAATTTGGATTCAAAGAGCATGGTTTTCTAATCTCTTATACATATCTAATCATTTTACTGCGTTTGAATAAAATTTTCATACGCGTGATGAAAAGCAACGTAGTATCATTCTTTAAAGAGGCAAACATGAGACGCAAGTTATACTTCTAAAATGTATTATCTATAAGCAACCTAAAAATACAGAGAATATATTGTATAAAAACGTAGTTGTATCTGACATTTGTATTCGAGAGAGACATGCGAGTTAATGTGACATTTGAAAAAGCCTGCCTTCATTGCGGTTTTTGAGGCATAATAAAGGAAAAAAGAATAAATTCTCAGGACAATGGAAAAGTCTTTCTCTTTATTGACCAGTTAAATCCTTTTGTATTCATAACTTTTATTTAACACACAATACATCAAATGAAATAGAGAGATCCAGGCACCAACGTAGTCTTGTGGCTTAAAACTCAGCTCGCACTAATCAAAAACTCGGAGCTGGGCTTTAAAAAAGACTTAAAATTTTTAAAACTGTCAAGTCTCACTCACTCTCTCTCTCTCTTTTACTTTAAAAAAAAACAGTGAGTGTTCTAAAGCACCTTGTCATTTGACTCTTTTTTTTTTTTTTTACTCATTTCACTTTATTCAGATATGCCACCCAAGAAGGCTGTTAAAGAAGAAAAGGTATTGCTTGGACGTCCTTCCAACAATTTGAAGATTGGTGTTGTTGGTCTTCCCAATGTTGGTAAATCCACCTTCTTTAACGCCCTTACCAATGCCTCTGCTGCTGCTGAAAACTATCCTTTCTGTACCATTGGTAAGTTTATCGATAGTCTGACTACAATGTCGTTTACTTATACTCTCTTATATAGACCCTGAAGAATCCCGTGTTGCTGTTCCCGATGCTCGTTTCGATTGGTTATGTCAACACTATAAGCCTGCAAAGGAAATCCCTGCATTTGTAAGTCGAAAAAGAATAAGTATAAAGAAAAAGCTAACCGTGAAAACAGTTGACAGTGATTGATATTGCAGGTCTTGTCAAGGGTGCTGCATCTGGTGCTGGTTTAGGTAACGCCTTCTTGTCTCACATCAGAGCTGTTGACGCCATTTTCCATGTTGTCCGTGCATTTGACGAACCCGATGTCATTCACGTCGAAGGAGAGCTGGAGCCCCTTCGTGATATGGCTATCATTCGTGAAGAATTGAGATTGAAGGATGAAGAATTCTTGACAAAGCAAGCAACCGAATTGAACAACGTTGCCAAACGTCTCGGTCATGGAGGTAATGCTGCCGATAAGGCCAAGAAGGAAGAAGCTGTTATTGTCACCAAGGTTCTCGAATGGGTTCAACAGGGTAAGGATGTTCGTCACGGTAACTGGAGCAACAAGGAAGCTGAAGTTATCAACGGTCTCCACCTTCTTACTGCCAAGCCTGTTATTTACCTCGCCAACTTGAGTGAAAAGGATTACCTTCGCAAAAAGAACAAATGGCTTCCTAAAATTAAAGCCTGGATCGACGAAAACTCACCTGGTGACATGATGATTCCTTATTCTGGTGCTTACGAATACCGTCTTACTCTTGCCAGTGCTGAAGAAAAGGAACAGATCCAAAAGGAGAACAATGCACCTTCTGTTTTACCTAAGATCATCGTCAATGGTTATGCCGCTCTTCAACTTATCTACTTCTTCACTGGTGGACCTGATGAAGTCAGAGCTTGGACTATCCGTAAGAATACCAAGGCACCACAAGCCGCTGGTGTCATCCACACTGATTTTGAACGTGGTTTCATTATGGCTGAAGTCATGAAGTATGAAGATCTTAAAGAACTCGGATCTGAATCTGCTGTCAAGGCTGCAGGCAAGTACATGCAAAAGGGTAAGGAATACGTTGTTGAAGATGGTGATATCATTTACTTCAAGTTCAACGTGACTGCTCCTGCTAAGAAGAAATAGATCTCTTTCTATGTATACATTACATCCTATCTCTCCCCTCTTTTTCTCTCTCTCTTTTCTTTCCATTTTTTTTCTCTCTCTCTTTACCTTTGTTAAATAAATATATCACTCCCCTCATCTTCATCTCTTCCGTATGTACTAAAGTAAGAAAACAGAGAGAGAAAGGCTGGATGGGGGAAGTAGAAATTAATGCATGAATCAATGATATATATTATACAACTTTGATAAAAAAAGGATCTGCTATATAAAAGCGCTTTGTTTTTTGTAGAAATACCCTTAGTTGCCACTCTGTTGTTAAGAAAAGAAAGCTGTTTGACCTAGCTTCCGTATCTTTTAGGATATGTATTTCCGATTAGCCCTTCTTTTGAATGAGCGTTAACTCGTGGCATGTCCATCAATTAGGACACAAGCTGGAAAAACGAATATTTTATTCCACGTTTTTTAAGAAAGCGGGACGATCTGTACAAATATGGAAGCTCGGTTCATCCGGAACCGAAGAGGATAAGCTGCTATAACCAATAAAAACTTTATTCGTATATATTTAGAGAAGAGAGAGTGGGGGGGGAGGACTTGTTTATGCGTATGTACACAATGCGTATTATGAATGTAAGGATGTAAGTGTATTTATTGTTTCTACAGTGGAAATAGATGTAATTGTTGAATCAGTTGAGCTGGATAATCTTTCATTTAAATAAGGTAATACGTGTTCTTCTCCATGGAAGGCTGTTGTGATCGTCTGAGGGTTTAACTGGCAAGAAGATAGCATATAAGGCAATGCGCCCATTCTATATTAGGGTGAGTATAAGTTATACTTTTTGTTTTCATTTTATACCTTGCAAGGAACATTTGTAATCTTAATCTTATCATTTGTTGATATAGTTCATGAAGTGATCTAAATTTGTATAAGCCTGCTCTTATATGTCTAATCAATGAGTAAAATTCCATGACGGCTATGAGCCGATCACGGCAGTAGCGATCCACACAAGCCCATTCGTCAAAATAGGATATTCGGAATCTGTACTTTAGCACTTGCTCTCTTTCTTCTTCTTCTATCTTTCTGCCACAGGCTTGGCATCCTAAAAAGACACTCCCATTCGTAAATCTTTCCCATAAGGTAGCCGTTGCTTCCTCTTTTAGATGGCGTTCGCATTCTTCATTAACGAACCCTTGAGGACACTCTTCGACAAAGCAGGTCTTGACTAGGATAGCATCCATTATCTTTTTGCTGGTGGTACGAGGATTGGGACCAAATCGTAAACAGGGCTCAATATCTTCTCGTATACAGTACTTCATATATTTCAATAAATGAAGCTTCCTAAGCGGCGTATGACTCGCTTGCTGTATAAAGTCATTAAAATCCATCAATGCTGCATCATCTTCTACAGCTTCCATCTGTAACCCGGTATACGCCTTATTTGCGATCATCAGTTCTAATTGAGCACGGGAAAGATGATCGATGGTCATGGCCTCAGCAGGCTTCACTATTTGGCTCTTTAATGATTTCAGTTGACTAGACGTCGTCTTCAGCTGGTCCTGCACCTCATCTAGTGCATTTTGTAATTTATTATTTTCCTCACGAATCTTTTCTTGCTCCTTCTTTTCGATCTTGACCATCTTGTCTGCTTCCTCGAATAGCTTTTGGTTTAGTTCTTCCAGTTCTTTCTTGACTGTTTCTTTTGATTTTTGAATCACTTGGACCTGAGCCACTTCTTCCTCGCATTTTAACTTTAGTATCTTCAAGTCGTGTTCCATTGATTGGACATTGTCTATTGTCTTTTGAATAATCCTTTGTTTCTCTTCAATCGTTTGCTCCAATACCGTGATTTTATTATCCAAATCTTGTCTTTCCTTGACAACAGCCTCCTTCTGGCTTTGTAATAGAGTGAGCTGAGTTTGCGTGGGCTGAAAAGTATTATGGAAGATATGACTACAATCTGAACAACAATCATGACTGAACGTAAAAGATTGACACTGACAAGTTTGGTTATCTGTGAGTTGTATTACTTTTATTCGGCTGTCATAGTCTTGTTTACTAGTATTAATAGTAGTAGTCGTTGTCGTAATGGACATTGGGAAGAGAGGGGTATAAAAAAGGGATATTAAATAAAAAAGAGAGAGAAAAAGAGAGAAAACGGGGAGCTTATAATTTTGGTGTCTTTTTATTTACGCCCCCCTCCTTCTGTTTCTCCTTAGAAAAAATAAGCCTCAATGTCATTGAAACAGATCTTACAGCCAAGTCAACATTATTTAGAAATTGCAAAACAGGCATCCATTACTTTGAAAGAACCAAGAAAGCAACTGCTCATTTTGGATCTCAACGGAACACTTGTGTCAAGAGTGAAAGGAGGTGGATCTATGTTTGTTCGACCGTTTAGTGATTTGTTCTTTGACTACATCTTTGATCATTTCACAGTGATGGTGTGGAGTTCAGCACAACCTCATTCAGTTAATTTCATGTGTCGAATGTTTGGATCTCATCAGTCTAAACTTGCTCTCGTCTGGGATCGTACCTCATTCGGTTTAAGTATAGAAGAGTACAGTAAGAAGACAGCGACGATAAAGGATTTGAGTAAAGTGTGGCAGAGATTAGAAGGATTTGATGCGACAAATACGATCTTACTTGATGACTCAAGCAGCAAGGCAGTCCTTCAGCCATTCAATGTGATTCATCCAACAGAGTTTGTTCATGGCTCAAGTAGCTTCCGTTCAAGCGGAGAGTGTGAATTGATACAGATTATTGATTATTTAAAAGTGTTGAGATATCAAAGTAATGTTGCTAATTACATCATGAATCATCCTTTCAAGTCTATTTTCAATCATCAGCTTAATTCGTTTAAAGTGCTTCATTTTATAAAATCAGAACAAGATGGACGTGAAGTAGATTTCAATTATATAAAGCCAGCCAATCAACATATCAGATTTTAACACACGTACCTTATTTTTAGATATTCTTACTATAAATATCTTGTAGTTACACATACATAAACATTTATATACCTTTATTCAACCATTTCAGAGAAACAGGGGACACACATTCGATGTGCTCCCTATCCTTCGCTTTCTAAATTAATAAAAGCACAAAAATAACAGCAGTAAAAAAAAAATTTCTTTCTTCTTTCTCTCTCTTTTCTTTAATGTTATACTTGACAGACGATTTGGGCTTATTGCCCTTCTTTTTACCATTTGGTATCATTGGTTTCTATAGATACCTCTGGTACTTTATCAAAGTAGCAGCTTGGCTTGTCTATAGACCAAGATTACCTAAAGCAAATCCAACCTATATACCAGAAAAAGATGTTACAATCATTGTGCCCACCATTGATGCCGGAGAAGAATTCAAGATTGCTGCCAAGAGTTGGTTAGCTTGTAAACCTAAAGAAATCATCATCATCACCGAAACAAAGATGAAAGGACCACTACAGGATTTAGCTAACGAGGTTGATCCGTCCAAAATTCGTGTGCTGACAGTACCCAAGGCCAATAAACGACTTCAGATGGTGGAGGGTATTAACGCCTGTACAACAGAGATTATTGTCTTTTCTGATGATGATGCTATCTGGAAACCAACTATGCTCGATTATATCCTGGCTTGTTTTGAGGATCTCAAGATGGGTGGAGTAGGCACCAGTCAGACTGTACACGCTGTTGATCCGAATGGACGTCAGACCCTCTGGGAAATCCTTGCTGGTTTCCGATTGACAAGTCGAAACATCGAAATCGCTGCTTCAACCCATATCGATGGCGGTATCTGTTGCCTATCAGGTCGTACTGCTGCTTATCGTACCTTGATCCTCAAGGACCCCGCGTTTCAGTATTGCTTCACAAATGATCTCTGGTTAGGCAAGTATCCTCTCAATTCTGGTGATGACAAATTTCTTACTCGATGGATGGTCTCTCACGGCTGGAACACGTATGCTCAAATCTGTAAGGAAGCTGAGCTCTACTCGACCTTCAAGAACAACTGGCGTTTCCTTAAACAGGTTCTCCGTTGGACTCGTAATACCTGGCGATCCGATTTTCGCTCCCTCTTTATGGAGCGTTATATCTGGAGAAGACACCCCTATGTTGCCTTCACCATGGTCGATAAAATCTTTAACCCTCTCACCCTATTAGCCGGCCCTATCATGGTAGGCGTCTTTGCCTCTCTTCAAGAAAAACACGCAGGTCCAACCAACCCACCCTTGCCCGCTTGGAACATTGCCATCTCTTATATCTGTTGGCTCTTGATCACTCGATTTATCAAGCTCGTTCCTCACTTTTTAAAACGACCTCAGGATATCTGGGTTCTCCCCGCTTGGCTTTTGTTTAACTATTATTTTGCCATCATGAAGATCTATGCCTTGTTTACTTTACATGAAGTCGGCTGGGGTACTCGTGCTGGTGTTGGTACTGAGTTGGCTGCCAACATTGGTAAAGAGATGGAAGAAAAGCAGGAACACGTCAAGATTGAGATGAGTACCCTTCATCAGGAAACAGAGCGTTATTATCAGAATGCCACCGATCCGTTCACCACTGCTGCAGAACAACAGGTTATTGAAATGGGCGTAGATGGGTCTTATGCACCCCCTACGACATCAACAACACCATCACAAGAACACCATAAGCCACTGTTATAAAAAAGAAAGCATTACTTCAGTCATATCCCCCTTTAAATTAATTTGTATAGTTTTATGTAACAAGTTTTTCAATAATAAAAGTGAATGAAAACAGAAAGAGAAGGTATGAAGACCATTGAATCATATAGAAAGCATAAAATAAAGAGCTTATCAAAGTACTTTAAGTTGTTGTTTTTTATTTAATAGCAAGATATAATTTTACATATTTTCCAATTCTCTGATTACAATATACAAGAGTTTTTATGTAACAAAGTGTCCATAGATGCTGTCACGAATCGACTCACATCAATTCCCCTAGAAAGTAACTCACCATAACAATGTGGAGGCACTAATTTCTTTATGAATTCAGGTCTTATGGATAACTCTAAATGCTGTCTTTTTTAGATTTGAAAATAACCAAAAACTGTATTCGACTTACCTTCCATTGTAAAGTTGAATAAAGGAGGAAGACTCTTTCCCGTCGGCATCTTTGTATCAGGATTTCTCAGTTCGTCAAAGAAGGGATGAACAAGGATTTCACTGGCTGATGGTCTAGCCAATGGATTATATTGTAATATACTTGACATCAGATCAATAGCCTCTGGTGGTGTTCTTAATCTAAAGATCTATATAACAAACATTGATTAGTCTTTATTTTTATTCTTTTATACTTTACCTTTGACAAAGGATGAGGCTTGATCAAGGGGAACTTGTGATCTGTATAATTTGGATTCATCAGCTCTATTTGCTCTCTCGAAGGCGTTCCCAGCACTTTGATAATCTCCACCAACTGATCCACACCACTTTCACCTGGAAAGAGGGGTTGACCGAGCAAGAGTTCACCCAGGACACATCCTGCTGACCAGATATCGATCTTGACCGAATAATCGGCAGCTCCAAAGATGAGTTCAGGTGCTCGATAGTAACGTGAGCAGATATAGGACACATTAGAGTCTCCAGAGTTTAATATCTTGGCGCTTCCGAAATCGCAAAGTTTCAAGATCCCAGAAATTGGATCTAACAGTAGGTTCTGAGGCTTGATATCTCGATGACAGATACCAATGCTGTGACAATAAGCGAGTGCTCGACATAACTGGTACATGTACAACTTGATTTGAAGGATGGGTATAGGCTGTCTGATCTTTGCATAGTGTCGGGCAACTCGGTACACTGTCTCTGGTACATACTCTAGCACCAGATTCAAGTAAACTTCCTCTCTTTTTTCACCTTGATTATAAAAGAAAGCCCTCAGCCCACACACATTTGGATGATGCATTAATCTCATCATTTCTAACTCTCTATTCTATTCTCTCCCCAAATAAACATATTAAAAAAAAGAAAGGGATCATCCCCTGACTGAACTTACTTTAAATCGTCTGTCTTGCAGTACTTTCTTTATGGCTACTTTCTCTCCACTGGGCATCAACTTTGCTTGATAAACAATGCCAAAGGATCCATTACCGACCACTTTCTCAAACGTATAATATAACTGAATATCTTTGCCTGTTCTTCCATCCTTGGCTGCTACAATGACATGTCTCAGTTGTTGTTGTTGTTGTTGTTGTGCTATTTCTATACATTAATTATTCACATTACTTTTTTATTTATTAAAAGCTTTACTTGATTCCTGTCCATTTTCTAAAGAAGCAGTAAATCCTTTGTCCATTAATTATTTCTAAATGTTTTTTTTAAAAAAAAAAAGAGATACAAAAGACACCTCACTGACAAGATTATCTGTGTTACTTTGGACAAAAATAGCAGAAATGAAAAAATGGACCTCCTTCTTTTTTTTTTATCTTTTTTTCACCATTTCATCAAGAGACAATCTGATTAGATCGTTGCATCATCAACGACAGAATTCAATTCATGTTAAACAACATAAAATGAACAATCTATTTCAAAAAAAGTTTACTCACATTCTCTCTGCCACCATCTTGTTCAGTCTTCTTTTGGTGCTATGGCTCTTACTAAGCTATTTTGATACAGATACAAGTAAAGTTATAGAATACAAAAGAGATAATTCTAAATTAAAAACATAATAGTATCACAGATATCTGAGCACTGTACGGTACCGTATCCAGGGAAACCGCTCGTTCGATACGCAATCATGATTGACGCAGGATCCTCTGGCTCTCGTATCCATATTTACAAATTTAACTATTGCAAGGAGATGCCAGAACTAGAAAACGAAATATTTCATGCGATTGAGCCTGGTCTATCTGCGTATAGGGATGATCCATTGGCAGGAGCAGGTTCACTCGATCGCCTCCTTCAGCTTGCCATAGAGCATGTACCTAAAGAATTACAAAAATGCACGCCTATTGCTGTCAAGGCTACAGCTGGATTGCGATTGTTAGGTCAAGAGGCAAGTGAGGGACTGTTGGGTGCTGTACGCGAAAAGCTAGAGACGATGCCGTTTCCGATTCATGCAGTTGAGGTGATGGATGCCAAGGAGGAAGGTGTGTTTGCCTGGATGACCGTCAATTACCTGTCAGGAAACCTAGGTGGATCAACAGTGGGCGTCTTTGATCTCGGAGGAGCATCGACCCAGGTTGTATTTGAGCCAACCGGCCGTATGGCTCCAGGCGATCATGTGTATGAACTAGAGATCGGTAAGGCCAAGTACACACTTTATCAACACTCTTATCTTGGCTTTGGTCTAAATGAAGCAAGGAAAAGGATCAAGTCTTTTGTAACTGAGCTCTGGAGAGAGTCGCATAGTGTCTATGACCACCCTTGTTTACCCGAAAACTACACAGAGACAGCTGGAGAGTTTCAACTGGTCGGCACAGGAGCCGGCCATGCGCCCTGTCGAGGACTGATCGAACGCGTGTTTGAGAAGGACAAGAGATGTATTCGACAGCCCTGTGCCTTTGATGGCATCTATCAACCTTCACTGACCGAGTCATTCCCTGACCGCGACCTCTACATGTTTTCTTATTTTTACGATTTGACACAGCCACTAGGTATGCCCCCAGAGTTCTCTGTACGTGAGTTTGGTGAACTGGCCAACCGCGTATGTGAGCAAGATCTTGAAGCGTTTAGACATATACCAGGTGCTGTCCAATTGATCAAGGGCACACCCAGTTACTGCCTTGATCTTACCTATATGCATGCTCTTTTACGGATAGGCTATGAAATCCCTTCTCATCGCCGTATTAGAACAGCTAAAAAGATTCAGGGCGCTGAAACCGGTTGGTGTTTGGGTGCATCGATAGTGATGATGAATGATGCTCGATTAAAGTGTAAATATTGAATTGCTTCCTCCCTTAATAAATATTTATTATGACAATGATGAAATGATGTATATTATATAATGCAGGAAAAATATCAATTGTCTGTCGAAAGCATTTGCTTTAGTTCTTTCAGTTCGCTATCAAAACCAAGCGCCCTCAATTCTTCATCATTCGCCAAGTTTGTTTGTAGATCTGGTAGCAAGTCTTGCTGTAGTAGTGATTGCACCTGTGCTTGTTCTTGTTCTTTTTGTTCTTCTTTTTCTTCTTGAATAGGATTAGGCTTGAGCTTTAAATAAGTGTTGCATGCACACTCAAGATCATCATGCAAGTTTTGATTCTTTAAGAATTCACAAAGATACTGCGCCATCCCATCTGGCATTCCTTCGTATTTGCGACTTGCGACCCCCAAGATCCGCATGACTCTCAGAATCATCGACTTACATTGCGCCTGTTCTCCAGTCTTTTCGAGCGCAATCATACAGAACACGGTGGAGGCCTGATAGATGCATGTCAAGAAGAACTGAAAGACACACCACTCAAACTGTTCGTTATATAGCTCTGCTGATTCGACGATAGCCACTGCAGATTTTATGCACTGTATCTTTGACTTTGCTCGCTGACAATGGGCGTCATCATTTACATTAATGTTCTTGAAGATATGCTTGTGTATAATGATCCATTGACGCTCATATTCCATTTTTAACAGTAAAGAAGCCTGTCTCTCGATAGACGCATAGGCTGACGATGGCCTTTCGACGTGATTGACAAAGTTATCGGGCAGTCGCTCATGCCAGTCTATCAAGAGTCTTTCTCTTGCCAGCAAGACCTTTTCTGATGAACCACATAGTGCCAGTTTTGTTGTCTGTTTACCAATCTTTATCAACTCTACGTGGTGAACATAAAATGCTTCTCTGATCCTAGTTTGCTCAAAACGCATGATATCCTGTTTACACTTTATCCCCTTTATTATTTTGTCGTTCAGTACAATAATTTCATTATAGTCTACGTTATGGTCGCTGTCGTCAATAATGCAAGGTTCGCCCGAGTAGTAGCTATTGAGGCAATCGTTATATTGTAAAGCCAGGCCGAGCTTCAAGTATCGCTTTCTCATCATGATGTCTATTCTATACTGAGATCGACTAGCGCCCAGTTCGAGCCACTTGCGGTATCCCAAATCGAGATAGATCTGTGTCTTTGAGTAGCGCTTACAGACCAAACAACTCATGGATAAATTGATGATGGCCTCGACAAGAGCACAACTCGCCGGAGCGTCGAAATACTCCATCAGTTCTTCTCTGGCTCGATCATAATAATACCCAGCCAGATCTGGCGCATTAGGGCATAGCGCTCGGTTATGGCGCATGATATGCAAGAACACTCTCGAGAGAGCAGAATCCGTACAGAGCCGATTGAGCTTTGGATCAGTCGATCGGTTCCAGAACGAATCCCAGTCGGAGGCAAATTTGGGATGCAAACAGTTCCAGCTGATTTGTAAGATACACTGTAAAGGGTTTGGGATCATGCTCTTCAAGAGGTTATCAAGGTTCATACAACAATGTTTATAGTCATCAATCGCGAATTGTGGATTTTTTAATGATGCATTGAACCAGTATTCTGCTGCCTGATAATAGGATGATGAAGCTGTTGAGCTCGTTGAAGGAGTGCAAGGTGAAGAGTAGAGTTCGAGCGATTGCTCTTGTACGTCTTCTTTCATACATTCTTTGCCTTGTTGCAATCTGCGAATTTTATGCACTGCTTCAATCAGTTGCTCTACACTGGTAATATTGGTATCGATTCGTAATAGATTGTCTGGCTGAAATGATAAAACCCACTTCATGTCATTGATGGAAGAGCTGTCTAGCAGCGGATGCTGGTCTAATAGTTGTTCAATGGCAATCGTAGGGTCTGGCTTTGGCTTGACTTGCAAGTGTTGTGATGCCTTTTCTAATTCGGCAGTTGTCTTTCTCAAGAGTGACTTTGACTTTTCAATCCAAGAGTTGATCTCGTAAAATGCCACTTGCAAGCTTTGCAAGTCTTCATAAGGCATTGGTAGTTTACTACAATCTTTGGAACCATTCGCTTTTTTCTTTTTGCTATCTTTATTATTTGACATAAAGTTGTAGAAAAAAAGAAAAAAAAAGGAAGAAAATCTTGTCTTTCCGCGGAAGTTTTGTATTTAGGATGAATCATCTATGACCAATATCACTGGTTTATCTAATCAAATATCGATGTCATCACACTCACAACTGCGTAAGGCAGATGTTAAGCGTACTACGTAGGGCGCATTACGCATCCAAGTAAATACCCTACAACGTTTTTTTTTAAACAAGTTCATGACGTTTTATTATGGGTCCTGCATAAGTATAAAACAAATGGATAATAGTTTAACATTTTGTTATTTTTATTCTTCATCACTGCTATCTTCATCATTTTCCTTTAACCAAGTAATAAAAGGCTCCATCTGCTTCAAGAAGAGGGTCTTTCCTTGAACAAGATGAGCTTTATCATTCCAATAGAGAATAGCATTATCTGAGAGAACATCGTTCTTGTAGAGAGTTTGAACAATCTTGCGGAAATACTTGTTCAACTTGACATCTTCGTAGCAGGACAATTGAGCCTTTTGAAGGAGAACAATTTCTGTCTTAGGTGAGGTCGAGAATGCCTCTAATACCTTGGACCAACGATTGATGGCACGCAAGACTTGAGATTCAAGTTGATCAGGACGAGCGTTCATGGTGTCTAGGGTACTAATGATGGATTGCCAAACGATTGGCACCACCTCTGCTTCGTTCAATCCAGCTTCCTTCATGGAACTTTTAATAAAGTTAATGACAGCAGTTTCAGTCGCATCGTTCATCAGTTGTTCATGCAATTCATTCAAGAGACTACCCTTCTTGGAGTTCTTCTTGTTCTTGAGATAATAGTCTACAAATCCTTTCATTTCTTCTGCTTCAAAATGACGAACAAGACAATCTTCGTCCCTTTTGTTAGGAGGGAAAAATTCAATAACATGAGCATCCAAATCTTCGCTGCTCAAATAACGGCCGAGCTGTTCGACCGATTGTTCTTCCATAATCGTACGGAACACGGTGGTAGTAAAGTCCAAGGAGTGGCCTTCTTTAACAAGGTAATCCTTAAAAAGAACCTTCAACACGGATGTAGACACAAGCTGGTTACAGATAAACAAGCTAGTTGATTTGGCCAACTTGGAGTTCTCTTCGGGCTTCCATTTGTTGATATACTGCAAGAGGTTATGGAGGGTTTCGCCCAGGATTCTTTGCAAATACTTGTAACGACGAATCAATTTACTAAATACTTCAACGTATTTTTTAATCACGGCGGCATCATCTTCTGCTGCAAAAATGCAGAAAGAGCTTCGTTCAGAATCATCGTTAATAATACCTCCAGCTTCTATAGGAAGAGTTAATAATTTTGTTCGGAACCATATAATATAAACTTGCCTATAATGCCACCAGTTATAAGGATTTCAAAGAGTGAATCACCGTATTTACGATAGTCAAGTGTATTTCCAAGGGAGTCAAGTTTAGAAGATATAGCTTCAAAATCACCTTTCTTTATAGTATTCAATTGACCAAGTATATTTTCTCTAAAAACTAAAAATAGACAGTTAGCTCATGAATCACATTTTTCTTTTTCCTTTATTCTTACTCTCAGGCTCGTGCTTAGCGTTTGCTTTTTGAACACCCTACGGATGAGAGATTAGCAAGTTGTTATGCATCTCTTCAATACCACTTACTTTTCTTTGTTTAATTCTTACACCATGCAAGACGGGTTTAGGATTAGTTGAAGCCTGGGATTGGGTAGAATTCATGTAACTTGCTAAAAACGATTACTCTCCTTTTTTTTTCTTTGCGTTTGTAGCCTTGATTAGAAAAGAAGGAAAAAGAAAAAAAGAGGGAAAATAGAGTGCAGAATTTTTTTTATTTATTTAGGTGGGCACACTATTCATTGTCAGCACTAGAGACACCCTGTTTCTTTTTCATGTTCATTTGTTCAATGGCAAATGAACAGGCTAAGGTTTGCTTTGTTGGGTGTGTATACTTTTTATATGTTCAAACAGAGACAGGAATAGAAACATCTGTTGGATGCAAGTTTCATATTTCCTTTTTGTCTATTTAGTGATTTCACACTCCGAATAACACGCTTAGGCGCACGCGCAGTAAAAAAAAAAGAAAAAAAAACAGTTGCTTATTTTTGATACAGGCAACATGGACGCTCAGCTACTCAAGTTGAGCAAACAAAAGGATAAGGCATTACTTAAGGAATTTCTTAGCACTTCACCTAATGATAAAGTAATATCTTCTTTTCTTCCAAAGGGAAAGTGATCTAAGTGTTTGATCTATTATAGATTGCTGACATTATCAAAACAAAGCTTCATCAGTCAACAACAAATGACAGCGACATAGTCTTGTTGATTAGATCCATCTTGATAGGTAACAATAGTTGAACTAAGTTTAATAATTGTCATTGACACGTTCTGCTCATTGATTAGGTTCACCCATTGAAGAAGGACAATTCAATCTAGATCGTCGACAAGTGGTCATTGACTGTGTTATCGAATGGTAAATGAGCGTTCTTATTGATATGCTTTCTTAACGCTTCCTGTTAACAGGCTGAGCTCAGATCATAGAGATATCATAGACAAGTCCGGTCTAAGCTCAAGTGTGGTCAATTTGATTTTACCAGAAGTAAGGTCGAAAGACGCTATGTTGCTATTATTAATTACTTTAAAGATTGAGCTATTTCCTTCAAACATTTTACACGAGACAGCATTGACCATCATCAATCTTATCGATCAGTCAGACACAATTCATTCCAAGTTATTGGATATCTTCACCAAAATATGGAACGCACTCTCAGCAGCAAATGAGCTAACTGAACTAAATGATGTCTTTGAGAAATTAATCAGCGCAGACTGGGGAAATCAGTCTATAGTAGGCGTTTGCTCAGCTATGAATGAGATGGAGCTATCGAACAAGCAGATGGAACAATGTATAAACTATATGATAAGGTAACTTGCTTTCTTCGCTTTGGTTACACAAAAATAATGCAAGCTTGAACACAGAAAACTACATGAAGTTGATCTGGAGGAAGTGCCTCCATTTATCTATCAGCTCTTGCTTGTCTCAAGAAAAGGTCATAAAAAGAATGTCCTCAAGGGTATATTCGATTACTTCAAGAATGAAAAAGATGATATTAGGTAAAAAAGAGAGAGAGAGTATACAATAGTTAATGATATATCTGTCAATAGTGTTGAAGGAACAGTCATGCTACATATGTCGTTTGCAGTCAAACAAGATCAGGAACTAGGGAATGAGCTCGTTAAAATAATGAAAACCAATAAAATGAACCAGTTAGACATTTTTAGCACTGCAACCTTATTGTCAGTGGCAAGGATTCATAGACTTCAGGATACTGTAAAAGAAGAAAGCGTATGAGGCATATAAAAGTTTATTAATGAATATATTGATAGATAATTGACTTGTTCAAATCGGCAATTATATCTGCCTTCAAGGACAATGAAAGATATCAGCAATGCAATTGGATAACAAGTAAATAGAACAACAAATCACTTTCTACTGTTTATTCATATTGCAATTGATTAGAATACTCGACATCTGATTCTGCTAGGTTTAGCACTGTTCTGCTAGAGATTGCTGATAGATCTGCAGCTGGATGGGATCAAATCATTCAGAGCATGACTCGTCTATCATTTGTATTAATTGACTCTGTGGCCAATCAAGGAGGCTTTTTTGCTACAAGTCACTCAAGAAACAAGACAAGCGGAGAACCCAATAATGCGAATAGCAATCTAGCTAATCTTGCTATTCGTATTCTGGCACGACTATTCAAGCACCATGACGTTGTTAGAAGTGAAATATTGGAGCAGATCACGTCTCGTATTGTAACAAGATCAAACAGTGCGAATGATTTTATTAGACTTTTAGAGATCATCATTCACGACTATCCTCATGCTATTGAAAAGCATTTGACCACGGTAAGCTCAATATGTGTATATATTCAGACGTAGGAGGAACTCATGTATGTGTATTTCTATAGTTGAAAGACACGCTGGATCTACTTTCTTATCTACCCTTTCCAATTGCTGAGCGTTTGCTAAACGTAGTTAGGCCTGTTATAAAGACAAACCAACAATTTAGAGATAATTTGATACTTGTACTAAGGAAAAGCTTGTTTGCAAAGTAGGTTGTGGAATATGACTTTATTACAAGAACTAACATTTTGCTTTTCTAATAGAGACATTGATGGAAGAGAAGTTGCAGTGCGTGGATTTCTGAATGTGTTGGATGATCTACTTGTCGAGTTGAAACAAAACGGTGCCTCAAGCCAAGCAGAGAGTGTTGCCTTTGAAATTTTAGGTAAGCATAGATAACATCTCTTATGCACACAAGACTAACTTTTCATTAAAAAGGTTTATTACGTAGATGTTTTAGCCAACAGAGTGAAATTAGAGCATGTGCTTACAATGGACTAGGCACATTATCCGAAGACCATGCCTCTTTTGCTGGGGATGTGTTTGAACTGCTATCTACACAGGTAAAAAAAAGAGAGAGAAAACAAGTGGAGAGAGCGCATGTCTTATCCTCTCTTAGTTTATGAAAAGTTTTGAAAGGAATACTAGCATGCCTTGTCCTATCAAACTTGATTCTTGCATAGAACCTTCAAGCAGCGGAGGATTCATCAAGACAGTTGAACCGATTCATATACTACTACTAAATACCATTCGTTCCCTGCAGGCAGCAGCTAGTGATTCTAGTACATGTTCTCTTATTATCGAGTCTATCAACCGTTTTCGAGGCCATATAAAATCATTCGTTATTCGGTTATCTAATGCTGCCCTAGAGGATCTGGAGCTTGACAAGACGACTAGCTTTGATGTTGATACATATGAAGGTCAAAAGAACATACAGTATGCTATGCTTTTACTCCCGCTTTACGAGGTAACTTTGTATAATAACTTTTAGTAAAAAGTACTTAATGTCAATAGATTGCCATTGAATATGAATACTCTATGAACGAAATGAATGCAGACACAAGCGAAGTCATACTCAACCTATTTAAAAAGCGTAAGGATTTGATGGGCCTACTTTCTTCGATACCTGATAGAAGCAAAAAGACATTAAATGCAAACAAGCCATCATCAAGCTTGAAATTTATAACAAAGGTGTTTAAAGATCTGTTTGCGAGTGAAGACAATATGTCAGAACCACTTCGTAATCTAAAATCAAATATAGAGCTTGTACACTTTGTAGTCGTCAGTACAGGTGATAGCTTAAAGTGTGTAAGTACTTTGCTATTTAAAGAGAAAAAAAAAAAGGTGAATCTATAACCCCATCCATAGGCCATCAATGATCCTTACAGACATCGAGATGAGGAAAGCTTCAATATATGCATTGAGCTATGCCAACTCTATTTGCAAATTCTCACACAAGAAGATTCTGATAGCATATTCGCCAATAACCAATCTTTTAAAAAGGGACCTTCAGTACTCATTTCCCTCAGTAATCATCTTTTGTCGATATTGGAAATTGTTCGCAACGTATGGCCCAGTCGCTTTGTTGATTTTTTGACCAGCGTGTGTCGATTACCCGATAGCGATCAAAACACGATTATTGCTTCGTTTATTGAAAGCCTTCGAGATATTGTGATAAAGTTTTTATCGGGTCGATCACCTATTTACAAAGAGGTATCTAGTATAATGCAAGTCATTAGCTTCCTTGCTGGAACATTTGATAAATCAAGTCAAGATTATTCTCAGCATGCACAACAGATAACGAACTGGGTGAATGAATTAGCTAAAGATAGACCGATTGAGGATACAGGTCTTACAAAGGAACTCATATCGTTGCTTATCCGTGTATCATCAGATGCTGGAGAACATCATATCATACACGACCTGTGTGCGGATCTTCATGCTTATGCGGGGGAAATAGAATCAAGCTTTGCAGACGAAGATGAGCCTATGGAAACTAACATTCATTATCAGATCATCAGCAACAAAACATTTAGTGTGATTATATCTCAGGTATTTGATTATCTGGATCATTCCTTTGATGAACTTATTTGGGCTATCAGCAAACTACGTTTGTATGGTAAGTAAACTATAAAATTGTACAAAGGGAATGTTTGCTTATGTTTGCCTTTTAAGCTGTCAATGCGGACGAAGATGTGCCATCTTTTGAACAAGACATTTGTGAATGCTTTATTCTATACATGAAGACTTTAAGTGAACTAGTACGAACAGTGCTTTCTGACACAGGTTCAGAGAACCTATTCAAGAATCTAGCTAAGCTTTACAAGGCACTGCAGGCCTTTATTAAATATGTAAGCCAAGCTTTTTTTATGACCATATACAGTGCGACTTATTTTGAATAGAAACTTGCTTTTATTGGAGACATGTCTCAAATGTTTATCAAGGTGATCAGCATATCAGGAAGTGATATTACAGATAGAATGTATAAATTCTTGACGATTTATGGACAAAGGCAGCAATTAGCCGATGCATCACACGGTAAAAAGAAGAGCAAGGGCAAGAGACGAAAAGAAATCAATATAAAACAAGAAGCAAGAGTACAGCGTGAGTCAAGGATGATACCCCAATTGATCTATAGTGTAGAGCAGTATGAAAGACATCTTATTCAATTAAGTCGCAAATCTAGAGTCGACTTTATGCAATACATGAAGCGTAGTACGTCCCGTGACTTTAAGATTGAGATCAGCTTGCTTAATGAAGAGTCTTCTAGTGAAGATGAAAAAGAGGTAAAGTCATCATCATCACATTTGAGTGTATGTATCTAATCAATAATAGAGCACAAGCAGTGCTAGTGAAACACCATCAAAAAGAGCTAGATTGTCATAGCTCATATAAAAATATGATTATTACAACAGGCCATGATTTTATTATCGTGTATTTTTATATTACAAAAACGTCTTCTTTTTTTTCAATTATATATATTTACGAAAGCATTGGTTATTTTACATACGTTCTAAAGGTCTCAAGCCCAACATACGCATGGCATTGCCAAGAGTTGTACGAGCTGCCCAGTACATGAGCAAACGAGCTTCAGCAATAGCGGGATCAGCGCCCTTAACCCAGAGGTTTTCGAAGCAGGCAGAGATATCGTGTGAGAGTTTGAAAGCATAAGTGACGACATTACAGGGTTCGTAACCGTTCAATAAGCTCTTGACGAGATCGGGGTATTGAGAAACGGTACGAATGAGGTCGATTGCTTGAGGTTCCGTCAACAGGCTCAAATCAGCATTATGGTTGACTTCGATGCCACTTCTACGTTCAATTGAGTAGAGACGAGCATGAGCATATTGAATATAAGGACCAGTGTCGCCTTCAAAAGTGCACATGCGTTCCATATTGAATTCGTAGTTCTTGATACGACGAGCAGCGTTGTCTTGAATCTTGACAGCGGAAATACCAATTTCATCAGCGACTCTATCAGGTTCTTCGATTTCAGCGTATTTGGCTTCGTTTCTGCGCATCACTTCGTGCATTGTCTCCTTGGCTTCTTCTAAAATATCTTCGAGGAAGACGACAGTACCCTTACGAGTTGACATACCCAGCACCATGCCAAAGTTCACATGTTCCAATTTCTTGGCCCATTCAAAGTTCATCAATTCCAATGTCTTGAAGAGTTGCTTCAAGTGGAGATCTTGTTGAGAAGCAACAACATAGATCATCTTGTCAAACTTGAATCGTTCATAACGTTCCCAAGCAGCACCGATATCACGAGTGAGGTAAAGAGTCGTACCATCCTTCTTTTGGACGACAGCCTTACCGAGCTTATGTTTCTCAAGGTCAATGATCAAAGCACCTTCAGACTCTTGAATCAAGTTGCAGTCATGCAGCATTTTCATGGCTCTCTGCATGCCAGCACCCACTTGAGATTCACCAGAGTAAATATCAAAGTTGATATTAAGACGGCCATAGATATCACGGTACTTGACAATGGATAATTCACGGAATCGTTTCCACAGTGCAAGGGCTTCCTGATCACCATCTTCCATACGCTTAAAGTAAGCACGAGCGTCATCGTGGATGGTGGGTTCAGCTTCAGCATCGCGGTTGATTTGAACATAAACGTCATACAAGTGCTTGATGGGATCTTTAAGAAGTGCCTCTTCAGAGCCATATTTAGCGAATCCGACGGCCAAAAGACCTGTCCAAAGAAGAAAAAAATTATTAAAAACTTTTCCTTTTCCCGAACTATCCTTTTCCACTTACCATACTGTTTGCCCCAATCACCCAAATAATTCATAGTGATCGTCTTCCAACCATTTGCCTTGTAGATATTGTTGATGAAAGCACCAATGATGGTAGAACGAAGATGACCAGCATGGAAAGGCTTGGCGATGTTGGGAGATGAGAATTCGACAATGACTGTCTTTCCGTCGCCACTCTTGTTATCACCATAGTGATGTTCGAATTGGCTGACCATGTTTAATGTGGACTTGGTTAAGATGGTCTTGTTGATGCGGAAGTTCAAAAAGGGCCCAGTGGAGGACACTTCGGTGATATAGTCATTTGTAACAAAGGCCTCTGCCCATTCCTTGGCAATAGCAGCAGGATTGCCCTTGAGACGAAGACGGGGAAGGGCAATGGCGAGGTCACCGTTCTCAAGGGAACGAGGAAGATCGATGGCTTGATAGACAAAGCCTGGTTCAAGGTTACCGAGGGAAGCGATTTGAACAGCAATCAAGTTTCTGAAGGCATCTAATGGATTTGTCGAAGGGTCAGAGCCAACCCCAGAGACTGTGGGGATGCTATCAACAGCAGCGGATGAAGAAGAAGGGAGCTCAGAGGCGGCCTTGATGGCTTCTTGAACAGCAGCAGAAGATTCAACAGATTTGACATAGTCGGCAGCAAGGTTGTTTTGTTTCAAGACAAACCAGGCAATATAATCCACAGCAGAAGGTTGTTCACCGCTCAAGAAGGCTGTTTTCTTTGCTTCGACAACAGACGTCAAGGCGTCGGTATTTTCTGTAATAGCCAAGTCAAAGACATGAGCAAGTCTTTGGTTTGCATCCTTTTGCTCGTCTAAAAGGTTATAGGCGCGGGTCAAGTATCTGGCGATATTGGCAGTTGACTTCAATTCAGTTGTGTTGTTAACCTTTAAGCTGATCTCTTTTCCGGAAGAGATAGAAATATTCTTTTTGATATCTTCATTGCTGCTAATGATGGCCAAGAGTCCCAAAGGGATTTCCTTGGAGGAAACTGTTAAATTCATTGTTGGAAGAAGAGAAAGTAGCATACAAAAAAACGAGACAGCTGTAGTTTTATGACTCACGGCTAAGCCACAGTAGAATAATAAGCGGAGTTTGTTATGCGTCCCTGAAAAATGTCATCATTGCTGACAATTTGGAAGGTATGAGTCAAAGTGAACAAAGCTTGTGCACCTTGGCCATACTTTTCCAAAACTCCCATCCTCTATCACTTACAGCCATCAAAAGCTCTAGATTATACTGATAGATTTTTGGCGCTTTAGGACATGTACGATCTTCAAGAGATGATGGGACAACTCAAAGACTTGGGCCATTTCTTTGTCAGGGTCTTTTCAATCTATTTGACCCGGCTTGCTCCAATAGACTTCATCCTTGTATGATAAGATATCATCACAGCCATCGATCTACTAGTATATTCACCGTATACTCTTACAATTAAAGGTAGTGTGCTCATCGATTAGCTGTTGTTAAAGAACAAAATAGCTGGTGAAGTCTACCCTCGATGGTCTTTATCCATTTGCGTTGCTCCACAACTTGATTACTTTATTCTTGCCACCACACTGCAGTCAATTAGTCAAATTGCCAAGGCTAATAGCGTCGAAAAATACAATAGATTCACCAAAAAGCGCGTAACCAGTTGATAAACTTGCCAAGAACGTGGAATGCCTATTTTACCACTTTTATATTTACTTGACCATATTTGCATTT